ATATACGAGTAATATATACGAGTAATATATACGAGTAATATATACGAGTAATATATACGAGTAATATATACGAGTAAGTATATATGAAAAGATTATACTTGAATAAAACTTACAAATTGTATAATATAGAGTTGGCGCGAGTCACGTGACACAATTCATTGTTTGCACGTGACCAAAATTTTATCCCTTGTAATGCAGGCAAACTTGTTTGGAAAAACATAATGGCATGTGAAAATTTACGGACGAAGGGATATATCATTATATTATTGAAAGTTTTTGGCTATGTATGCTATAATTTAAGAGTTGCATTGTAGAATAACAAAGTCGTGGTAATATACCCGAAATGTGATTCAGTATATTCAGTATTCGGAAAATCGATTTTAAAGAACCAATCCAAAGCTTTTTTGGTTACTTTAGCCAATTACTTACTTTAGTCAGTTACTTCATTCAGTTATTTTAAGTCAATTTTGTTCTATTTCGTTCAATATATAGAACATACAAAATTTTTACATTCTGATTGGCCACATATTTAGATAACGCTAATATAGTACATATAGTTTGTATAATAGATTATCTTTAGTGTCAGCGTTAAGGAAATTTTAATGGTATATTACGTAAACACTCGGTGCGAGGGAGACCGAAAATTGATATATTGTTATTCTGTTTTTATTAGAAAACTGATGACGATAATTCCGTATAATGCTCAGATATACTGTATGTTTGTCGGAGTTATTATTAATACAATAGTCATAATAACTTTGTTATGGGAAATTACCGTATAAAATGTATAACTATACATATAATATGCACTTAGTATACATTGTGTACGTATAAAGTTCAAAAAAAAAAAAAAAAAACTCTTAAACAATAATTTATTAAAACATGTTTAAACTATATTATAACAAGAAAACAAAACCGAATAAAATTTACCAATTATCAAAAATTTCACATTAAACATTATAAAAGCAAATAATAGACGTTCCAGTTTCAAGTATAAATTTTGTTTATATGTATGTTTTTTGTTAATAATAAATACTTATTAAATATATGAACATATTTTATATATAAATACAATATACATATATTAATAAAATAATGTACTTATCATATAAATAACTAAATCAAAAAGTTGTTCAATTATTATAATGAATTGTAGCCTTTCCGACATGCATTCCAACCTTAACCTGTTAATAATTTAAAAAGATATTAAATGATTCATAAGCAATTTATTAAAAACGCCTTGCTTGAAGAATAATACAAACCAAAGTTTCTAAAGGTTGTTTAGAGTTATCCAAAATATCTTCATCAAACAGCATTCTTCCTTTTTTGAATAAAAGTACAACCGTACTTCCACCTGTTTATCAAAAAAAAAAAAAAAAAAAGTTAAAATTTAATTTTAAATTTAATAACAATAATTTCTATGATAAACTTATATCCATCAATTATATCAATCAATTTTATCAATTGTATTATACTAACCAAAAGCAAAATATCCATGTTCATCAAATCGTTTTACATATGTATTGGGTTTGCTAGTGTGAATGAAATTTAACAAACGTTATTTTATATCTTAAATTTGTTAAATTTAGAATAGTAATCCATTTAATTACCTTGTAAGTATAATTGAACCAACCATCATGGCTCCAATTGACACATAAGCAACTTTGCCAAATTGAGGTGAATCAATATAAGATATGCTGCGTTTATTCAGGCAATATACATCAAGTCTACAATAAGGATTAAAGAAGGATTAAAGAAGGATTAAAGAAGGATTAAAGAAGGATTAAAGAATGCTTAAAATATAAATTATATAAAATAAATTAATCATTTAATGATCCAGATATTGTATAATTACTCTGAACGAATCGCCATTGGGTTGACTGTATAGTAATCTCCAGAAATCTCAACCGGCTCACTCAATTGACCATCTACTGGGATGTGGAATCTGTAACAATGAATAAATGAATTAAATGAATAAATAAATCAATGAATAAATGAATAAATGAATTAAATGAATAAATAAATCAATGAATCAATGAATTAAATTTCTCACTTAAAATATTTATATTTATATATACCTGTGATAATCTTGTGGTGCTAATCTGAAAATTCCTAAACTACCACCTTCGAATTCTTTACCCATTTCATCATCATTAAGTAATTTAGAAACTGTAAATTTTGTGGAACTTGACTCTATGTTAAATAGTTTAGGATCATCTTTGACGAATCAAACGATATCAGGTTTTTTT